CAACCGACAAACTGTACTTGTGATGGTTGAAAGTAGTTAATGAAAGGTGGGTTACATTTACTTTTATACACAGTCTGGATTCAGCTGTTCCCTGAATCACAACTACTGCTTGGTCCATTATCAGACCGGTTCATTCAATGTGGCTAATGTCCTCCTCTGAAAACAGGCCAACTCTAAACTTTAGAAAACAACAACTTTTCTCTTTCTTATGATAGTGTCAGGAAGTGACAGAGAGATGGGAGGGGGCATATCATCTCAGGTCACATAAAATTGTCAATGTTTATTTCAAAGCAACGTATGTCCCTGTGACTCAGCCCCTCAAGAAGTTCTGTGTGTGGAAGGCACCTTCTTCTTCTGGTTCTGAGTTGGGCGTGCAGGTGGGCTCATAGCAAGCCTCTTGGGTGATGGGGATGGCGGTGATGAGGCTGGCTTCTCTACCAAGACGTTTCTTCTCTTCCTCCTGCTGCAAGTTCTTCAAGATGTGTTCTGCCCTCTGATGGGAGCGGGACACAGCACGGGCTGAAAAGGATTTCTGTGGAGACATGAAGGCAAATTTATGTAATAGCAATTCTTCTGTGAGGTCACAGGCATAAAGAGTGTTCCAATAAATAACCCAAATGTGGTAGTTTGTCCCCAGGAAATGTTAGGATATCCATGATTAATTTCAAGAAGATTTATGCATTTGATTTTCTACCAAATTTCCAGGCTGCGTATAGCTAAGTTACTTTTTTGCACTCAATCAGAATGATTCTTCAAGGATATCTATAATTTCCGGAAAGACTCCTATATCACCTTTAGGATTTGGGGAAATACCAATGATTCACTCTTAAACATTAAGGCGAAATAACATTTTTTAATACTCTATTTCTTTCCAAATTTTTTTGAACTGGTTTTAAAAGAAGGATTTTTATTTCATAAACTTAATAAAATTGAAAGTCAGAACCACAGGAAGAGGGAGGAAAGAGATATCTCTTATATGAACCAGTTAGTTATGTCATTCATTTCATTTTTATAGTTCAAGTATCTGTCGCACTATAGCTACTTAATATTTGTAGATAAAAAGTGGCACACTGTAAATACTTAACAATATCTGTAGAAACAAAGTTACTGAATAAAAATTATGAGTGTTCATAGTACTACAAAGGTTGAATGTAAAATTTGCCCCTGTGTTTACCAACAGCCAAGGCATAATGAAAAAATACCAAAAACAACTCATTTTTCCACAGGTGAAGGATAAGGAACAATAAAGAAGAGAAGACTCACTCTGCAAACTGGCTATTATATTCGTGCCTTAATCATGATTCTTATGACAAGACAAGTTGCAGGAGGTTTGGGGACAGAATCAGTGATCTTAGAGCAGGGAGGTGATCACTGGAGTTCTTCCCTACCAACTTGCAGTAATGTCTACATACAACAGCAATTCCACATCTTTTTGTTGGTCTGTAGTCACATAGGGTTCTAGAGACAGGCAGGGATGTTGATCTCTCTTCGGAAGGGACTACATTCATAGAAGATCCCTTTATGCTGGATCTTAACCTAAGACTAAAAGTTTCCTATGATGAACGGCACAGAAGCAATTAAGAGCATTTGATGGGCCACATGGAAATTCATTTTCAGAGCCAGGCGGCTAAGCTGGTTTATCACAAAAAGGCATAAGGTAAGAATTGTGAAATGAGAGAACTGGATACAGAATCAGGGGACTTGGTTTCAAATACACTTTGAACCTGGGATAGAGAGTTTGGTTGGCTCACATGAAGCCATCACCACTCCAGGAGAAAAATCAAAGATCCTTATGTTGGTAGTTCAGATGCTGAAATTACTGCACATACAGGAGAAGAACCAGGTGTGTCTTTCTCTTTGGCAAGGAACCATCAGATACGAAGGTACTGTATGCAGAAGAATTAAAATAAAATAGGCATATTGTAACAAACAGCTCTCCAGAGAAAACTATAAATGCCCAGAAAATCCATGTGTGATAACCAAAAATGCTCAAACTAATTTCATATCTTCAAATTAACCTTTTCAAAGAAGTGTTAATAAAATAAAAACAGTACAAGTTTTTTTTTTTTGACCATGAAAAGTAGCAAAAAAAATAACACTAGTTAATAAGACATTTTTCAATTCTATCAATAAGGGTAAAATGACATAACCTTTCTGGGAATATTTTGTGAGATGTGTTAAAAATCATTACTAGTCATTAGTATTACACTAATTGCTGTAAATTCCAGAGGAATTTATTCAAGAGAATTTGTGCAAAGAGATGTGTTCTTTTTCTATTTTTGCTTTACTTTCCAAATTCTCTACATTACTCTTGTATTCAGAAAAATACCATTCAACAGGTAATAAAGGCATATTTTGAAGATCCAGTTTTTCAAAAGGTGCATATTCTTGGTTTTTGTCTATAAATGGACTGTGTTCTAAATTTAACTCCTTCTGAGTTATATTACATAT